ATTTCCTCTAATTAATCCCCTTTTAATGTGCACGAATTTCATGCACTGGGCCACTAGTCTTTTATAATAATAAAAGGGTAATATGCTAATTAGACTGGACGTCTTCCGGACAAAGCTGGGCTGGAGGGAAGCCAGCCAGGATCCCGGGTGCCTGCGGGCGGCCCAAGCAATACCGGCTAGGGTCCCGGGTGCCTGTCGGCAGCCGGAGGGAAGCTGGTGCCGGAGAAGGAAGGCCTACTCTTGCATGAATTTTCGTGCATCGAGCCTCTACTATTCAAATAATCTAAATGTTGATAAGATAGAAGAGGAGAGGTTATATTTACCTGGGAACCAAATATAACTGGGAACCAAAAAATAACTGCTGCTTCCAGTTTTCAAGGTAGCTGAATATTTATGTACTGAATTGCAATGTGTTATTTTTTGTCTGTGTTGTACAAGTAAACATATTTATCACAAATGTCTGCAGTTGAATTTTTTTATTTGTGTTATAAATCAGTCACCTGTGACTTTTAGATTCTTTTGTTTGCTGTTTCTCTCCCATAATCATCAAGTCTTTATTAATAAGTAGAGGCCCAGTGCACGAAGATTCGTGCAAGAATGGGCCTTCCTTCCCCTGGCTGTCGGCACCACCTTTGCTCTGGCCTGGAGCCACCTTTCTGCCTTCCCATGCTGCCCAGAGGCCCAGAGTGGCTGGAGCGGTGCGGAATGCCTGTGTCCCACCCTGCCCCCGTCTGCTCGGCACCTGCATATGCAGATTAACCTGCCATCTTTGTTGGGTTAATTTGCATACTCACTCCTGATTGGCTGGTGGGCATCACAAAGGTACTATCGATTTGCATCTTTCTCTTTTATTAGTGTAGATTATTTGTGCATACAGCTATATACTAGTATAGTCTTCCCTTTTTCTTTCTATTAAGGTTTTTTTTTAATATCTATACATAGATAGGAAAAATATGTAAAAACGTTAGAATGTATGATCATGGGTGTCTGCATGCATACTTTTTTCTAATATATGTTTTCCCCCCCCAAAAAAATAGAAATAAAAATTTATCAAATGGTATGCTATGTAAAGTAAATGCTAAATGCTCATGTGTTTTTTTAACCGTACTAAGTCGTAGAAGGTTATCAAATTCAAGCAACAATTGAGATTAAAGTTGGTATGATTTAAAAACTTTTAACCTTAAAAATTAATTAATAATCATCTGTCATAATGAAGCAAAATCAGTGGGGGTGGAATTAGGAAGAAATCAGTAGACTTGCTCAATTTTATTGTAATGATGTAAAAAAAAAATAGGTGCTAAACATCCTAGAGAACAGTAACCAAAATTACTTTTGAAAAGTTGGGCCTGTCTTCAAAAAGGAATTTTTAAAACTTAACTAGATTGTGTGTTGTTGTTTTTGTAAAGATATATCTATACTAAAACTTGCTTTTAAATGTCACTGAATACTCTAGAATCTGGGTTTGGAAAAACTTGTACTATTTATATGACACTTCAGATATTGTATCATTTGATGAATTTATATTTTATGCTAGGGAACACTTTTTAAAGATATATCATGAAGAAATATATTATTGTCTCACTCTTTAATATCTAATTCAGTATTTTTTCTCAAATAACCAGTGACTTAAATAAAACAAGTTTCCACACCTACACTAATAAAAGAGAAACATGCAAATTGGTGTTACTCTGCTATACCCACCAGCCAATCAGGATGAGTATGCAAATTGACCCAGCAAAGATGGCGGCTAATTTGCATATGCAGTCGTGGAGCGAAGACTGAAGACAGTGTAGAAGGAAGCCAAGTGCTGCAGAAGGGAGCGAAGTGGCGGAGAAGGGAGGGAGCGGAGGCAGCCGACATGGGAGCGCAGCCGAGGCAGCGGACACGGGAGTGGAGCCGAGGCAGCGGACATGGGAGGGAGCAAGGCAGTGGAGAAGGGAGTGAAGCCCGCGGAGGCAGGCTTCGCTCCCTTCTCTGCTTTGCTCCGGCCGCAGGAAGCCCTATTCTTGCAGGAATAGGCCTGATGAAGCCCTATTCTTGCAGGAATCTTCCTGCATCGGGCCTCTAGTTTTATTTATAAAAGGCTTAATTACATTTTTGCATTGTTGGGAAATTTAAGTAAACGTAGGTAACTTATAACAGTTTGTAATATTCATATCAGTGATTTCTATCACTTGATAGAAATTCTTGGACTATTGTGTATTTTTATCAAGAAAATTAGGAATACGGTCACCTTTACAAATTATTTTAAGCAAATTTAAAATTTTATCTTAGATATTTCTCTCTACTCGGTATACTTTTCTTTTTCTTTCTTTTTTCCTTTTTTCATATATTTTTATTGATTGCAGAGAGGAAGGGAGAGGGAGAGAGATAGAAACATCAATGATGAGAGAGAATCATTGATCAGCTGCCTCCTGCATGCCCCGTACTGGAGATCAAGCCCACAACCTGGGCAAGTGTCCTTGACCAAAATTGAACCCAGGACTCTTCAGTCTGCTGACTGATGCTTTATCACTGAGCCAAACTGGCTAGGACCAGTATACCTTTCTTTATCACTACTCCCTTGGGTGTTTGTTCACAGAAGCAATTAATTTTAATATAAGTTTAAGCAAAATATGATTAGGAAGTCGACTACAGAAGTAGCTATTATATATTTCAAAGTTAAATACAAGTAATTTCTAAGTTGTATTCTGTTTCGGGTAATCCATGTTACATTTCTGCTTATCAAGGATACTTATGATTCAGATACTCTTAATTTTTTAAAATTCTTTATTGTTTAAAGTATTACATATGAATCCTTTTCCCCCCCATTGACCTCTTCCCGCTTCTCTGCCCACCCCCCCTCCCCCCAGCACATGCCCTCATCCCCTTACTGACTGTGTCCATGGGTTATGCTTATATGCATGCATGCAAGTCCTTTGGTTGATCTCTCACACCCCCCTCCCTGCTTTACCCCTGAGGTTGGATGATTTGCTTCTATGTCTCTGGATCTATTTTAGTTCATCAGTTTATGTTGTTCAGATACTCTAATTTTAACCCTGACTGACGTCGTTGCAATTTAAGACACTTAATCAC